GAGGAAGGAGGATTGCCCCAAGTATGAGGCCAGCCTGGGCTCCATAGTGAGAACCTGTCTCATAAAGGAGGAAGGGAAGGGCAGAAGGTGGGGAGAAGGGAGGGGGAGGTGGGGAAAGGGAGGAAGAGAGAGAGAGGGAGAGGAGAAGGATAGACAGACAGCAAAGGGTTTAAGCTGGGCAACCTAGGGAGACCCTATCTCAAAAAAACAGCTAGGAAAGGGGACCAAGAGATGGAGGGACGGGGCAAGAAAGGGAAGACGAAGAGTTCATAAAAAGAAAGAAGATATGTTCTGCACGTGGACCAACTCCCCACGATGAATGTAACCGCTACGTACTGCAAACGTGCACTGATAATACACAGCTCTGAAGCGGGAGGCTGGGGGTGCAGTTAGTACAAAGACCCCGAGCTCAACCCCCCAATACCACACACACAAAAAAAACCTACCTAGTGGAAGAGTCTCCTGGTAGTTTTAATTTCTAATATATCTTCTAGGGGTTTCAGATGTGGTTCAGTCATAAATAATTTACCTAGAATGCATCAGGCCCTGAGTTTGGTCCACAAAAAATATCTTCCAAATACCTGATTTAACTCACAGTTTTTCTACTTTCAGTAACTAGATTGTTTTCTATTTTAAATCAATAAACTATACACAGTTGGAATGATCCTGTTAGATGCTCATTTAAATATATGATTACAATAGATTTTACATTACTACATGTTTGCAAGTAGCTCTTCGAATAGAAGTTCATGAACAGTGTTAACAGCTTGACTGCAATCAGCAAAAATAAAGGTAATTAGGAGGAAAAATATTTCCCCTTTGCAGATCAAATGGCAGCCCTGCCTCTCGTCTCAATGATTATAACACTACACCAAATACAAAATAGACAAAGCAATGAGCAGTACTACACAGAAGTAAAAGGAACTGTAATGGACTCACTCTATGCCCTAAAGCTCACCATAGGACTTGGCACTTAGTATACAGCAAGGGCATAATACCTGCTGGGCGGGTAGATGTACAAATTAATAAATAATCTAAAATGATACTTATTTTAGGAATTAGACTCCTGACAGTTTGGTTACGCTGAGATTTCTAGATTAAAGGCAAAATTGAGGACCATACCTTCTACCAATCATGAGCCCCAGCCAGGCGTGGTGGCGCACGGCTGTAATACCAGCACTTGGGAGGCTGAGGCAGGAGGATCGTTGCGAGTTCGAGGCCAGCTTGGGCTACAAAGTGAGCTCAAGGCCAGCCTGAACTGCATAGCGAGACCTTGTCTCAAAGAGACCAATAAAAAAAAAAAAAAAAATCATGAGCCCCAAATAAGGTCAACATTACACATTCACCGTACACCGTAGGCTCAATGGGTAGGTGGAGGGAAAGTTCTTACTTCCATATGGAGTCCCTATCAGTAGGGTACTTGGTTAAATTTTTCAGCAATTCCACTAATGCAAGATGAATGCCTTCTTTGGTTGAAACATTAGTACAGCACAGGAGTTCATGAAGAGCTTCTCTAATATCTCTGGATGAATCCTTTAAAAAGAAAAGGTAATAATAGTAGTAAGCATTGCTAGTTAGTAAACCCAAGCTCCACCCATGATCCCATTCTGCCTAGCCTCCTGCCTACTCAGGGTGCCCACCTGACAAGGTCTTGGGAAGTTTGTGGGTTTAACTTCCTCCAAAAGCTCTCATTTCATTAATAAAAGGGCTGACTATAAATAAGTAGCCTTGCTCTCTTTTGCTCTTTCATCTTACTATTTTTTTGCTGTCTAGAACTCAGTCACGATGTCAAATGTGTTAAGAGTCTCCCTTTGACTATGAAAAAGTACCAGCTGACAAGGGAAGAGTGGTAGGAAGGTGGAACATTTTACAGAGGATAATCAAAATGAACAACAAGCATAAAGGGAATGAAATGGGAGCACATCTGAAAACAGCAGGGAAACCATCATGGCCAAAGCAAATAAAAAGTGAATTCACCGTAAAAGATAACTCTCAGGGCTCTGCATGGGCTGGTCCCACCAGCCCCTCCAGCCTAATCTCACACCACACTTCTATTCACTCTTTCTTCCCACCACACAGGCCTCTTTTGGTCCTGCAACTGTGCTGCTACCAGCAACCACAGAGCTATACCTGCTGGGATGTTCTTTCCTCTCACACTCCCAATTCTTCCTCAAAGTCAGGGCCTGAATCCTTCTTTTTTGAACTCAACTTTAGAACCTTCCCTGATTGGTACCTCTACTCCCTTACTCCCCCAAGGACTGAGCTCTGCTGACATCCTCCTTGGGAACTCACTACTATCATGGCTCATTATTAGGCCTTTGCTTGTACCACTGTCTCCCTCAAGTCTAAACTATAAGGTTTACAGATTTTATTCACTATCATATCCGTCCAGGAACAGAGGCTGGCACATAAGAAGCGGTGAAGTAGTATCAAGGAAACAAAGGGGAAAAATGAAGGACAAAAAGAAATGAAAGAGAGCCAGGTGTGGTGGCACACACCTGTAATCCCACATTTGGGAGGCTGAGGCAGGAGGATCACTGGAGTTCAAGGCCAGCCTGTACATAGCAAGATCCTGTCTCAGAAAAAGAAAAAATAAATGAGAGTTTATTTCAGATTTGTCTTGCTCCAAACACTGTAAACTTAACCATAAGATATAATGCTTCCTATATGGACAAATCTCCACTGCTGATAGACAGCTATGCTGATATACTAGAAAAACAAGAGAAAATTTTGATTGTGTACTTCTTAAGAATTGTCTAATTCCCAGTTATATAGTTAACGTGAAGATTTGTTTCAGGAAATGTGTACTATGCATTCGTTATGTGTAAGGCACAACACTGGGCTCTGAAAGAAAGATACTGAACAGTGCCACCTAGTCCTCTACTTACAGAGCTAATATGCTCCTCGAGAAGATAGAATGAATATACAAAACCTGCTGAAAACGGTAAAATGCAAAAAATAAAAGGACACGTGGGCCTGGTTCTCAATAAATACATTAAATGCATGAGGAAGAGTTCATCTCATATGAACTTCAAAAAGACTTCAAGAGAAAGCACTGTGAGCTTGAAGCAGGGGATCACTGTGAATCCGAGCCCCTCCCCCCACATGGCCAAGGCCCTGTCTCACAAGAACAAACAAAGGGAAAAGAAAAAGCAGAGAAGAGAAAAAGAGATGAGGAGTGGGTGGGGGAGGGGAGGGCAGGGGGAAGAATCAACATGTCATTCCGCTTCACAAAATCCTCCAACGGCCTCCTATAATGCTTAGATGAAATCCAAACATCTGACACAGCTTCATACCACACCTCTACCTTCTCACTACGCTCCACCCACACTGGCTTACTCCGCTCTGCAGATGCACGGGAGCTCGCTGTGCACACAGCCTTCGCTCTAGCTGTTTTCTGACCTCTAGTTCCTCCCCCAGTCTTCACATGGCTGCCTGCTCTGTCGTGTGAAGCTCTACGTCAACTCAAACATCATCTCAGAAAGGCTTTACTAACCACTTCATTTATAGTGAGTTCCCCATGCTTATGCCATTGAACTTCTGCCCAACATTTATTCGTTATCTGAAATCACTGTTTAAAAATATAAGTGAGAGCAGGGACCATGTCTGTTTTTGACACTACCACATTTCCAGTATATAGACAGCGCTTGTTAAGTAAGTGGATTTCTTCATTTCTCCTAGCAGGGTAGTATCTCAGTATAGCAAAAAAAAGGTAAATTCTAGCTAGTAGGGTCAGCCAGCTATGACTCAAAGCAATAAAGTACTGGGGCTGGGGATGCAGCTCAGTGTTCAGTGCTTGCCTGAGGCACAAAGCCCTGGGATTTGATTCCTAGCACCAAAAAAAGCACTCAATCTGCTTTCTGAAGTATACGGCAAAAATTTGAAAACAAGGACACTAATAACTAAATATCAAATTGCTCTCCCTTTCATATGAAAGGATAGTAAAGCCAAATTCCATTTAGTTATATTTAGAAACTAACTTCAGTACTCATAAATATAATCCAGACACTTTATTTAAAAAGTCCAAGAACCACATACAGTTGTACAGCCTCAGCAGCAAAACTGTGTTCACAATCTGGCACAGACACACACTGGTGATATATGACCTCTGACAAATTCCCTTTTTTCTCAATAAAACTATAGGGTTGAACAAATTGATCCCTAACACTCCTTTCTGCTGCAATAACCTATGATTCACTACAAGAATGAAATCAAATCAGAGGCTGACAAGAACTCCTCACTATTCGGCCCCGGCCTTATGTGCAGGAACTTCTTGCCCTCACACCTCTTTAATTGTATGCTATTGCTCCAATGAACTCTTTTTCATTCCAGGAACACATCATATTTTCCTGTACCCTGATATGTGGACACTGCCCCCCTCTTTAGTTCCCTTCCAGAAGGACCATTCACTCCCTAAAACAAATGCTTCACTGCACCCTACTCTTTCTTCCCCCAAGTGTTCACTACAGTACCCTTTTTCTTCTCTGTCTCTTCAGCTTCACCTCAGCAGATAAAAATAATAATCCTTTATTCCTAGGGCAGCCTGTCCTTTCCTGATCATAGCAACACCAAGCTTATTCAAAGTTCCTATGTAAGGCCCGTTTCCTCCATCTTGAGGGACAGATGTACGGAGAAGGCAGAATTGTGCTGCCTGCATTACTGATATGCTTACCAATGCCAAGCACAATAACTGGCTCAAAAGAAGAGGAGGAGGAAGTTACTACCAAACTGGAGACACTCACCTCTAACACAGCCAGGACGGTGTCCAGCTGGTCTTCTCGGAGGGTAATATTGTTAGAGATTTTCCTCATGGTATGTATGGACTGAAGGCGTACTTCCTCAATCTCATCATTGAACATGTCAACCAGGAAATCAAGGCACTTCTCGGCAAATGACGGTGAAGACTGGGCCAGCATGCAGAGGGCCTCCACAGCAGCAATGCGAACCTCTGGAGAAAAGAGGACAAGCAAAGCGGCACAAAGACTTAAGAATCATGGGGAAAATCCAAGATGGATCTTTGGTCATTCAGGCTGTCTTTCATTCTCTGCTCCTCTCTCTACAAATTCTCCCCGCAAGAGCTCGTCCATGCTATTTTCACACTGATCTAAGAACACAGATTCTGGTGTTTATATAAGGACTAAGGTTCAAATCTGACTCCACGTACATGTGATCAAGTCACACATCTGCCTACGTTTATTCAATTTCTTGAAAACTGTAGTCTCAGAATTCCAACCACAAGAAAGTGTATCATTATTACTAATATTAAAATAGCTAGATGCCATTATTCTCACTTTAGCAAAGTGAATTAACTTGCCTGGAAGTGAATAAGGGCAGAGATTAGCACTTAGTGAATTGTAGGCTAATATCATTTTTGATCAAGGCACATGATTTTGGATGGCAAAAGTCTTAGAGCAAATGTGGAAAGTGATTCCCCTACCGACCTGGGGTAAAGCCACTGAACAAAGAAGCCCTTCATTCATCCACTAGTAAATGTCTCCTGGACACACTATGCCAGCCCTGTACTGAGAGGAGACAGAGATGAGACACAAGTAAGATATAGACAATGCTCACAAAACTTCCATATGTTATAGTTTTGTTCCAACAACATGTTTGTTGTGGCTTCCAAATGGTTCTATAACAAAATATACACCTTAAAAAGAACAACTAATCGAAGTTATAGTTAAAACTCACAATTCGTTCTTTATATAAGAAAGTTTTCAGGGACAAGTTAAAAGTAGTTGCTACATTATGGGGAGATGATTCAGGTTTTTCTTGGTAATTATGAATTTTTCCCTTTCATATGAAAGAAACTTTCTTCATAACATGATTTAAACAAGAAATTGTTAATAATTATATAGGAAGCTTAAGATAAACCCAAGCATATTAACTGCCAGCTCTTCTTCCCAGGATTTTATCCATTACACCATACTGACTCATCTTTGTAAGTTCATCAAGGGAATCACAGAGGAAATTCTATCCAACATGAGGTAATTAGGGTGACCTGGGCTGATGTAATTCTAAGCAGAAGCAAAAAACTGGAGCCTTACTCTACTTGTACAGCTTGGCTATAGGTAAGTAAACTGTATTTTCTACTGGACAATTAGGAATGCAGGAAATACTACATTGCATAGACTTCTTTAGAGTCCAAGACAGAGAAAAGGAATCTGCTATACTAATGGGGAAAAAGAAAAACTGATCCTGGCTTAGCTACCTACCAGCTTGGTACTTAGATACAAAGATGAATGAGGAACAAGAACAAGACTGTCTCCCAATACTGACTCTCAACACCATTGACAGAAAGTATCTGGGAAACATTTCATCTGTACTAAACATGTACTTTTTTCCCCCCATCATTACTATCTCAATAATATGTGTAGGATAACATCTACTTGCACAGCATTTACATTGTAATAGGTATTATAAATAATCTGGAGATGATTTAAAGTATACAGGAGGATTTATAGGTAAATGCTGTGCCACTTTATATACAGAACTTTAGCATTCAGACTTTGGTATCCTTGGGGTTCTACAACCAATCCTCAAACATGAAGGGATGACCACACACACACACATCTTAGAGCAAACTGGCGAGTGTAATCCAATTCTTAAATCTACAGACAAAAAAAAAAAAAAAAAAAGCAAACTCTGCATGTATGTGTGATACTGGGGTTGAACCCAGGGCCTTCTTACTGAGCTATATCTTAAGCCTTCTTCTTTTTTTTTTTTGAAATGTTTTTGAGACAGTTTTGCTAAGTCACTAAGTTGCCTAAACTGGGCTCAAACTTAGGATCCTCCTGCTTCAACCTCCCAGAGTCCTGGGATTACAGGTGTATACTACCATGCCTAGGGAAAAAAAAAAAAAACTATCAAAAATAGCATTTTTGCCCTTTTAAATTCTATTCTGATAACTTTCTATGCATATTGTTAACACCTTCATTCTAGCCCTGTCTTTTACACATTTACTCTAAAATTTGGATGACCAACATTACTTCTCCAAGTCTGTTATCCTCACTGAAAATGAGGGTGTTGGAGTCAATCATCACAAAGCAGTGACATCCTATGATCAGTACCATGTAGTGGAAATTACAAGGGCTTTACTGAACTTTTATTATGGGCTAAGGAATAACAAGAGGCTGGGTGTGGTGGTGCACGCCTATAATCCCAACACTCCCAAGTTTGAGGCCAGCCTGGACTTCAAAGTGAGTTCAAGGACAGCATGAACTGCAGAGTGAAACTTTGCTTCAAAAAAAAAGGCAGGGGAGTAATGCGAATTAGTTTAATCTCACAGGATAAGAGAAGCAAAAGACAAGCATGCATCATTTAATAACCAAGATATATTCTGAAAAATACACTATTAGGCAATGCTGTCATTGGGCAAACATCACAGAGCATAGAGAGTGTAGGTCAATTACCTGACCTGGTCTCTTGACGCAGTAAAGAAACACAGTTAACAGATCTATGAGGCTGCTGCTGGCAAAACATAGCATAGCACTGCTTCTCAGCCTTTTGGCTAAGATCAAGTCCAACACATGGCACAATGGTTGGTTTTTTTTGTGCCGGGAATCCAACTCAGGACCTGCTCTTGTCAGGCAGGCACTGTGCTGCTGAGCTGTATCCCCAGCGGCACACTGTTTTAAACATTTTTTAGTAGGTACAAAGAATATGCACTAAAATACTGATAAGAACAGGACACTGAAAACATAAACCAGTAACAGACTTGTTCATTATCAAGTACATGTACTACAGTACCTATAATGTATGTATTGTACTTTTCTATGACAGGCAATACTGTGTTTGCTTACATCTGCATCACCACAAACACTGAGTAATGTGTTCTGACATCATGATGGCTATAACTCACTAGGACACAGGAATTTTTCAGCTCCAGTATAGTCTTATGGAATATAGTAACAACACAGTCCACTGTTGAACAAAATATCGTGAGGCAACACATGACTGTATGTGAAGCAACTGCACTCCAGACCTTCGACATCAGGCAATGAAGGAGCGCACAACCTGAGAGACAGGAAGTAAATGAATTGAACTTTATGATTACAGCGGTTGTTTAGCGCTTCCAGACTGCAGATCTCTTGGCACTGAGAAGGCAGAGGTAGGAATCCAGAGGGAGGGCAGACAATCTGGCTAGAATTCGTGTGGGAAAACACAAAAAAGGAGAGAACTGAACTGCACAGAGGATGGGAGAGCTGCAAATGGGCCTCTCAGGTCTTCAGCTGCGTTCTGATTTGTGTAGAACCAGACCTGGAAAAGAACCACCCAACAGAGGGAAACAAGCCCTAGCACTCACTCAGGACTTATAATAGTTTATTCAGAAGTTTTGCTTCAGTAGTGCAGAAAAATAAGCCTAAATACTTATTGACTAAATGTTCCTCTGGCACTGCCTAATGAACCTTAAAATTAAGACCTCAGCAAAATGCTTTTCAGAGCAAAGCACAAGAGTATATATAGGAATAAGACAATATTCAATACCTAGTAAAGTAAAATTCACAATACCTGGCATCCAACTAAAAAACTATCTCATATAAAAAGAAGCAGGATAATATAATTCATACTAAGGAGAAAAATTAGTAAAACCAAACCAGAAATCACATGAATTATAGGCTTAGTAGACAAGGAAAGATGTTAGGACAAGCTAAAAGACTATTTTAAGTAGAGACATGGATGATACTAAGAACATCCACATTCTTATTTTGCTCATTTTGTTTTTTTTGTGTTTTGTTTTTTGAAACAAGGTCTCACTATGTAGGTCAGGCTGGCCTCAAACTCGTGGTGATTCTCCTGTCTCAGTCTTTGGAACAGTGGGATTACAGGCACGCAACAGCACACCCAGCCTGTTTGCTGTACTTTTCCTGAGACAGGGTTTTGTACGCAATCCTGGCTGGCCCCAAACTTGAAATTGTCTAGAGTGCTGGGACTGTAGGCATGCCACCCCACAAAGCACAAATGCCCATATTCTAGTTGAATTTTTAAGTATGAAAACTACATCTGAGATGAAAAATACATGGGATGAAGTTCTTGTTTTTATTAATTTTTACTATGAAGTGCCTACTATAAACAGGTCACGTATTATGCCAAATGCTTAATGTATATAGAACCTCATCAATTCTCACAGTTCAGAAAGACATTTATTACTCCTAGTTAATGGAAACATTAGAATTTAAATCTACATTCACTCAACCCAAAGTCCATGCTCCTTACCACTGTACACCATACTGTGAGTACACAGCCTTCTGTTTGTAAAATAACCATAATAGGTATTCCACTGACTGACCAGGGGACTCAGACAACATCTCCGCTCCCCTGCCCAGTGCCTGACACAGTAACCACTAAGTAAATGGGGGCCACTGTTACCATACAGTCGTACTTACCATACATCTCATCTTCCAACCCATGAACAAAGGCTCCACAAGCTCCTGACTCAATCAAGTTCACAGCGCCTGTATCTATTTCTTCCTTGGGAGCATCATCTCCCCACTTCCTGCCACTGGAGAACTCCCCCGAACTGTAAAGTTCCTTGGCACGTTCATGTGCAGTTCGTTTCCTCTGTAAAAGACAACAACAATTACCACTTGCAGGAGGCTCTTGAGAGAACACTGAGTGTACCTTGAGAGCAAGAGAACACAGGAAATGAAAACTGTGCTCTAAGAGTTACACTTCTAAAAAAGTACTTAGTATTAGGCCAGGCTGTGGTGGCGCACACCTGTAATCCCAGCACTCAAGAGCCGGAAGCAGGAAGATCACCATGAGTTTGATGCCAGCCTGGGCTACAAAGTGAGCTCAAGGCCAGCCTGAACTGCATAGCAAACCCCTGTCTCAAAGAAAGAAAGAAAAGAAAATTACTTTATAGTTCAGAGCAGAAAAATGACAATTCAAATTTTTTTTTGAGATAGTGTCTCACTTTGTAGTTCCGGCTGGCCCTGACCTCTCTATGTAGCCCATGCTGGCCTCGAACTCATGGTGATCCTCTTGCCTCAGGCATGTGCCACCACACCCAGGAACAATTCAATTTAAAATGAGATACACAGCTCCCAAGTTTGTAATATTTTTCAATAGCCTAATTGAAGGGGGTAAGGATAGGTGGAGAATGTGCGATCAAGCAGGTCATTATATCTGCCACAACAACAATACAGGAAAGGGAGAGCAAGCAGGCAAACAATAGCAGCGCCCTTCCAAACACTGTCTCGGGGGTACTGACAAGTTTTTCAATCTCATTAGAATTATAAGTCTCTCTGTGGCAAAACTGTGCTCTACTTGAACAACACAGTACTCATCTTCTATCACTCACTTGACAATTACGGTTCTCGTCTTGAATGAAAGAACTGGAATTCTGCTTCAAACACCCACCCCTATGAATCTCCTCAGTGTGAGCCCCTAACTCATGGCTGATCACCTCAGAAGCTCTGCTGAGACAGGGACCTGACCCTAAAAGTATGCAGGGTCACGTCTGACAATAAAGTGTGTACCTTGCAATATATCTTGAAAACCCGTATGTTACTGATCCCTCCCCTTCACCATAAGCATTTCCATCTTTACGCCTCCACCAAACCTTATCAGGGGAAGAAAACCACTTCAGTAATACTCTCAAATCTCGGCAATGCCCTCTAGGGTCACCATATGGCAATGCCTCATAAAGCAGAGATGTCTACCTGACCACTTGGAAAATTTATCTTACGGAACAGCTCATAATTAGAAAAAGAGCTAATATGCATGAAGATGATACTCTGTGATTTATAGTGGCAGAAAAATTAGAATATAAATACAGTGAAAGAACTAAAAAAGGCATAACTACTTAAAAGGTTATGCAAAACTTTGTAAAAATGTTAAGTATGAAGCTGTCATTATAGAAAAAAGTACACACTATACTGGTAATTTTAAAAAGTAGATTATGAAATTATCTGCATATAATGATTCAATGTTTAACATATACATAAGAACGGAAAGAAATTTACCAGAATGACCAAAGTCATATTAGAGTAGTGGGAATATGGTAAATTGTTTCCCCTTTTCCTCTATCAAAAAGTTCTATAACTCTTTATTATCACTTCTATAATTTAAAAAATTACGGCACTGACAATGAACGTATGTATAATTTTCTCAGTCATATTTGGTCCTGCCAATCATGTCAGAGAACCATCAAGTCAAAGCCTACAGACTTCCCACAGAAGCATCTTGTTACTGTTCAGAGAAAGGGCTTACACTCATTCTTTAATGGAAACTGTTGTTGAAAGGAATCCTAACAGGTAAAATCATCGCACAAAATGCAACCAGACCTTTATAGCTTCTAGTAAACAGAAAGGTAATCCTGCCTTTTCTTTGTAAAATATGACCTGTGCAAAGGATTAAATTACAATATAAAACTCAGCCAGGTATGGTGGTGCACACCTGTAATGCCAGCACTCAGGCAGCTGAGGTAGGAGGATCTCAGTAAGGTCAAGGCCAGTCGCCTGGGCTACATAGTGAGTTCAAGGCCAGCCTGCACTACATAGCAAGACCTTGTCAAAAAAAAAAAAAAACTACTCAGTGAAGTGGCTTGTAATTTGGTTCAAGCTGCTAAGATTTTAAATTAATGTAATTTAGTAACCCCATAGTAATATAACAAATGCATGGGCAGCTAAATTAAATCAACACAACTCAGTACACTGCTACACTGATAATGGTTACAGTACCCAGTTTAAACAACAAAAAATTCAAGTTACCCTCAGATCTGACATCAGTTTCTTGTCAAGGGTCTGCTCCAAGAAATGAGAACTGACTTGCTCCATAGAGCCCTGTGGAAAGAAAGAATCCAGAGCATATTAAACAACTTCAATGTTTTGAACATTATCTTAATATTCAAAGTTTGTAACCAAATTAAATCCATATAGCCAGAAAAGATGTCTATGCGTTCCAAATCATCAGAAATATAAATTTTTTTAAAAAGCAGCACCATCAACCATTGCTGCTAATACCTAAACAGAGCTTACTCTAAGCCAAGCACATATGCACTCCATCTCCATCATAGCCCAACAAAATAGGTACTATTTAGTGCTATTATATTTAGTGATCATTTCATTATAT